TCTTTTTGTTTCCTTCTTAGCTTTTTTATTGTCTCTTGAATGGTGTGTAAATGTGGTTTATCTCTGTATTTCTATTGATGGCTGATTTGTCTGAATGCCAAGCTTTCAGGAATTCCCTACCTAGCATTTTTGGATTTAGCTTGGTCTAGGATGCTCAGTTTCCCAGCTGAAACTATGGTTGAGTTTGTCCATGTGTTGTGAGATTAAGGAGTTTTCATCATGTCTTCTGACTGCTAGTTGGTGTTCATGGGTGTGCTCTGCTAGTTTTCTGCCTGTCAGTCTTACACAGTGGCTGTTACAGTCCTTACACTCTATGTTGTAGATGACTCCTGTTCTTTCTTCTTGGGCTGCTGGGCCTTTTGGTTTACTTAAGATGTTTTGGAGGGCTTTAGTTGGTTTATATGCTATGGTGATACCATGTGGTTGTAATAGTCTATTGGTTGTTTCTGAGATGTTTCTGATGTATGGTAGTATACATCAAGCTTTTCATAGCTTGTGCTGGTTGTGCTGTAGCGGGCTGAGTGGTCAGGCACTTTGTGATAAAGTTGCGTGGGTATCCATTTTGTTGGAAGATGTTGAATAGGCAGTCTCTTTCCTTTTTCTGGTGTTCTGGGTTGCTGCAGTACATTTGTATTTGTTTGAATAATGTTCTTACACAGCTCCTCTTGTGGGAGGTTGGGTTTTTACTTTGGTAATGGAGCACTTGGTTAGTGTGAGGTTTTTTTCGATAGACTTGCATTTCTAATTTGCTGTCATTTCCTCTGCTGATGAGGATATCCAGGAAGAGTAGTGTGTTGTTGTTTTCTTCTTCAAAACAAACAACCAAGCTCAGAGAGCACCAAGGACTCCACAGTTCAACCCTGAGCTACATATATTCTCTTCTATTGGGAAATTCCTTGTCTTTGTATAGATTGTAATCACAAGAGTGTGGTGAATCCATAATTAATATAACCTGCAACATAGTTTTATGATCACATGATTCATTATGCGGGAGAGCTATGGTTGGACATTAGGGCATTTTAAATGTTATTTAAATTCAACTTGTTGGGTAGAGGGATTGATACGGAGCACCAGAGAAAATTGAGAAGTAAAATAATTTCAATCATGAAATGATGCAGATATTATCTTCCATATGTTTAGATTATCCACATGGGGGAAAATCAAGTTCTACAGATCATTATTTTTTTTCCTTTGGTGGAGTCAAACTTTATGGGAGAAAAAATTTACACTGGGAAAATGAAGATTAAACTTGTCTTTCTCCAGAGACATTGATCCAGTTACATTCTGATTCTTGCAGCTGTTTTTAGATAAAAATAAAAACAGAGGGAGATCAATCATATAATGCTTGCATACTATAACAATTGGCCTTCAGATGGAGAACAATATAATATTTCAGTTCCAGACACATTCTGTTAGATTCTGTCCCATTTTACAGCATGATTTTGTTCAGTTGTTTTATTGGGGTGCGGGCATGTTGTATGACAGTGATATTTTCCAATTTGGGAAGAGTAAAATACCCTTTTTTAATGCTTAAGGCTTTAAAAATAATTTGGAGACTATGCATGCAATTCTTGCCTACCCTGTAGATTTTCCTTTAAAAAGTGTGATAAATAATAAGACATTCTGTGCCTCCAGCAAAGCCATTATGACTAAAATTTACAGCCTGGTGTAGCTGCTGTGGCTAAAAGATTACCTGTCTCATTGAAGAAAATCCAGATGTCTATATGCAATATGAATTCATGTAGCATGCAAGTGTTAGTAGGATATACATCACATATAGGATACATTAGACCAAAAGCCGATGTTGCTTTTTGCTTTCTACTTGGTGGAAACTCTTGTTGCTCTGTAATGTGCAGAGGGGTTCTCAGAATGATTAGACAGGAAGAAGCTGTTCTCTTGCCTACTGATGAACCCCCTTGGGGAACAGCAAGTCCTACGTAGGTAAAATCTAGGACTTAAGAGAATCCAAGTACATTGTGGCTATAGATAAAATTACCTGTTTAAATGGTTTTATTCTGAAAAAAATGTTCATGTTTGCTCAGTGGTGACAAATCACCTACCCAACAATCTATATGGGAACAGTCCTGCCACTATGAAAGTGTTAGTGTGTGCAACTTTTTTCCTGTTTCATGCAATCTCTGCAGTTTGAAATCTTATTGTTGAAGATGATATGTATCCATCCATCCATCCATCCATCCATCCATCCATCCATCCATCCATCCACATGCCACAATCAAGAATTGGACTTGTTTTGATAAGAACTAGGAATAATTCTGGAATTATTATTAGAATTTTTTTCTGTAGATATCAACAAAAGAGTTTTTTTTTAAGTAAAGGTAAATGGATATAGTTTTTAAAAATCACATCTGACACTGGTTGCTGAATACCTAATTCATACATAGGAGACACAGGATGACAGGAGAAATATAGGAGGCATAGTCTAGATCAATGCACCCTAACCCTTCTTTTCTCTACCTCTATTATTTTGGGTTGTATGTTTTTTTTCAAGACAAATTAAGCCATGCTGATAGAATTAGTTCGGTCTTTCCCAATCCAGCACCCTCCCAAATTTGATACTGCAACTCGTATTTGCAAATCTCCTTAAGGATTAGCACAAGGGGAAATAACTGAGGGCATTTGATACCACCACCGTTTCCACTCCCCAACCCATTAGACCAATTTTACAAAGCAACCCACTCGCCCCAATGCAGCAGTTCCTCCAGCTGAACAGGGAGTGAATAGCCAATAATCTTCCTGCTGATGCCCCACCCCTCTGCTCCCACTTCCTCTGCTTGCTGGTCGGCAAATGGTCACGGGCCACCCTGAACCCTAATGCAAGGATTACAAAGGCAGTGTGTCAACTCCAGGGAGTGGGAGGAGAGCCAAGGAGCTGGGAAGAATGGGTTGGTGAGAGTTTCATCCAACGAGAAATTGGCTCACACCCAAGGGCCAAAGAGTTCTACTATCTCCAGTGCAAAATAGAAGTTTTGTTGTTGTAATTTTGCTCAGTGAAGCTGAAGGAACCTGGCTTGGCTGCTCAACCAGGGTGCTAGTGTGGGAATCCAATGGCTGTTAGACCTTTAAGATCACTTAAAGCCCCATGTGGAAGGATCCTGGCAAGATGCTGCAGAAGACGAATCCTTTCTGGGAGTGTGTCCTTCTAGTCAGTGCTGTGGACCTCCTGTCTATATGTTGCCGAGAGAACCCTGTTCCTTCTTAAGGCTGGAAATACTTTTATTTGGTTTATGTTTTTAAAGATACCCAGAGAACCAAAATTGTACAAACGCACAGGATAAAAATCTATTTGCTAAACCAGTACCTACATCTTACTAATGATTTTAATTTTGTCATAATTTAATCTTGGATTGCTGATTCAGGTTTTTCCATGCTTGTGTGAATGTAACCAACCCTGCTCCCTCCACACACACAAGGAAAGGTTGCTATGGTATAACTCCAAGGTTTGTTGGAATATGAAAAATGAGAGTACTGAGTTCCATGAAAAACTCAGTTGAAAATTCCACCCGATGTTAGCAAGGTGATATTTGAACAACATTTAATTAGCCATAATAATTTTAATGCCATAATGGAATCTTGGTATTTCTTTCAGAAAGAGGTGCCATATTCTCGCCATTGACTGAACAGAGCGGACTTCCAGTTTCCTTGTCTGGTGTTCAGTCTAATGGCCACCAGGTGGCAGCACCAGCTAGCAGCCAAAGGGGCTTGCAGGTGTTCAACTGTTTCCAGATCTCAGGCCTGAGCCCCATTGCTGGAGTGAATGAGTCGGCAATTGTATAATTCAGCCTCTAGAATATGGCCCTGAGTTGGTTCAGGCTCTTGACCGGTTGGCCTTTCTCTGCCGTTCAGTTAAAGTGCTACTCGCCCACGCCTCTCTGTGAAACAATGCTCACATCATATTTGCTCTCTCCCTCACTAATTCTTGTCCTGCTTCTGTTACATCAATCCCAAATCATTGCCAAGTACTGTTGTCATGACTGGTGTGAGTGTGCCACTGGTTATAGGCAAGAGAAGGGATGAGTTTTCTCCTCCAGTTTTGCTGCATCTTCCGTATGTCACCCACCAGCAGGGAAACATCCACCGTCACTGGAAATAGGAGAGTCTGACGTTAGGACAGGCTCAAACGCCTCATTGGGTATCTCCCAAGTTAAAATAATGTGAAATAAAGAAAGATATGGGAAGTCATTAGGGCAGAAATAGCTTCAGAGTAGAGAGACAGACAGACAGACACACACACACACACACACACACACACACACACACTGCCACTTCTGTCTGTTGTTTCATTGCTCTGGACTTAAAAAATGTTTCAGCCCCTTTGGCTAGGTAACAGTTCTCACATATTTTTATTTTCCTTACTCTACAGTGCCACGTTGAGGCCACATTTTTTTTAAAAAAGGTAAATGGACTGATAGAGGATCTCTCTTCCAAGTGCTCTTATGATAGGATGGCCTTAGTGCTTTGACTTAAAATGGAAATATGTGTCCCTGCACAGAGCAAAATATTGATCTCATCTACGTATATAGATGTATGTCCCTAAATTATAAGCTTAGTCTTTCATAGTAAGTACAATCCTAACCAATAAATATCCATCCCTTC